GGTGCCACCAAACGGTTAATTTTATATGTGGTTTGCATTCATGTGATCAGGTACAAAGTGCCTGTATTAGATCTGAAGCCTTAGAGGAGCTCAATTCTAACCCAAAGGGCTGGATTGTGCTGGTGAAAGACCAGCTCATTCCCATGCAGATGCACTGCAGAAATTCCCGTAACCTGGATTTAAAAACAAACCCAAAACCTGATCCTGCCACTGTCATTTAATACTGGGGCTCCTCAAACACCCCGTGCACCCACACAGCCTGAGTCTGAAGAGGATGAACGCACTGGGAGCCTGGGTGTTGGTTTTCTGTCCATGTTTATCAATTTAAAATTAGCTTAATACCATGGACTTCAATTTACACTCAAAGGGAAAATCAAGAAGGAAAATAGAAGCAGCCCAAATGTGTATGTGTCCTATCTCTTGCTCCATTCATTTTTACCAAAGCACATTGTCACGGTGCTCCAAACGATGAACCGTAGCAGGAAACGCCAGCCCTGCTTCTCGTCTCCCACTGGCATAAATCACCAGTGACTCCACTGAAGGTAATAATCCTGGTTTATGTCATTGTAAGTGAGTGGAAAATTATATCTGATGACTGCCTTAGACCTGCCAAACTGAACTCCTAGGAGAGTTTATCAGACAAGAGCAGAGCAACTTTGTAGTTGTAATTTGTGCCAATTAACTTGTGGGATCAGGCATTTATCTGGGTAATGAGGACAGCCCCAATTACATGAGTTCAAAGTTCACACCGTATATAGGAGGTCGAAGTACTCGTGGCCTGCGGACACTCCTGGACAGGGCATCAGGAAGGTGCTTCTTTGAGAGAGATGTTATCCTGTACTTGCCCCCGAGGGGCTTCTCCACACCTTCCCTGCTGTCGCCGGAGTGCGGCTGCTGGCGTAGAAGAGCTAAAGACAAAACCTCACTGTCCTACTTCCCCACTATATTCACTTGGCAATCATTATTACCATGATTCCCCTTTTAGTAATTTAATTCTTAAAAATTGACACTCACAATGAAGGTTAGTTGATTTGAGAGATCATTTTGGAAGGAAGATTAAGCTTTTGCATCCCAATTCTTTCCTAAACTCTGTCCTAAACAATTATCTTTTCTCCCATCAAAAGGGAGATTTCCTAACCCAAGCACACTTGCAAAGTCCCTTTAATTTCTTTCTGCAGTGGAAGGGGGGGGGGAAACCCCTTTACCTTTGCTTAAACCAGCGACCACTAGAAGTATTTCAAAACGTAAATGGCCATGCATGCCCCTCTGCTTTTCCCTTGAGCCAGCTTTTGACTTGAGGGGCACAGCAAACTTGACTCAACATGACTGACGGAAAAGGTGGCCAGCCTCGAGCCAGCTCTGCCATGAAAGGCTTTCCGCAGACCCCTGTGCGGCTCAGTTTGCCTCAGCATCACCCTGGCAATAATCCCAGGCCAGGAACAGCTTCCTCGCCTGCCTGGGAGGGAAGGAGGGGGGCAGGCCCTCGCAGGAGAAATCAGACGAGAAAAGAGAACAAAACTCTTGCAGCCCTGGAAACCCCTTCGTGAAAGGGAGAAGTCTCATTCTCCAGTACGTGTAGCTTGTTAAGAGAGAGCCTGGTTTAAAGACTTTCCTTTATTCACTCCACTTAGGAGTTCTGTGCCAACATTTGGTTTAATTTTATTAATATTGAAGTATTATTATTAATTATTAATAGAAATGTGTGCATTAATTTTTAATATTATTTTAATATTGATATTACAGATATGCTATAGAATAATGATGATATCACACCAAACTGTAGGAGTTTCCATGTTTATTACCAGATTTTGGGTTAGCAGAGAGCCATTTCAGGAGAGGACACCACAACATATAGTGAGTTGCTGCCTTAATTTGATTACCTGCTTATAAGGAAAGGTGAAGCAAGGTGTTTCAGGTTTGTGGGTGCACAGCTGGCTGAGCAAGCATGCACCTGTAAGCCTGGGGGGCTGGAGGGAAAGCTCTGCTGCTGAGCAGGAGGAAACCCAGCTGAAGCTCAGCTTCATCTGCATTCTCTGCCCACAATTCCCCCCTGGGAAATTTTGTCATTTAAAAAAAAAAAAAGTTACAAAATCTTTTTTTTGGGGGGGGAGGATGACACAAAATAAATTCTCCTGGTTGTGTGGCAAATGGGACTCAGATCTGCATGGGTGCTTACCTAGGAGACAGGTTACCCTAACCACAACCCTGGTTTTATAGGAGGAGTAGCTGAAGTGAGGCTAGTCAATGAAAGGTTGAATATCATACTGGTGGTTGAGAGGGCAGCATGGAGTAATACATACCTGTATGGCGAGCTCTAAGGTAAGAGATAGGGTTAGGGTTGGGTTTATCCCTTTGTAGGAGGGCTGGAAGCTTTAGGCTCCTTGTTATCCTGAAACTCTAGTGCGTTAGAAGATCTTATAGTATATCTTGTCAAGAAGTACTTTGCTAATTTGCCTCATCAACATAATGCAGCGTAATGATGTACGGTAACAGCAAGCATGACCACAGACTGAGGTCCTCACTGATGCCTTCCCCTGCTGCAGTAGCTCTCTGATTTGTTATTACTGCACAGGTAGATATTCAAAAGAAATAGAAGGTGCTAAGAATCCCTTGACTTAAACAAGATGTCTCAGGAATTTGATCTTGACGATATGTAACATGTTTTCCAGAAGGAATTAGAAAACTGCAGGAAGAGAAAAGACTGTGCAAATACAAGAGGATTTTGATAACAGCAAAATCAATGTGCCTTTCTCTATTACATAGATATGAAATGCCAAACCAGCGGGGGTACAGCTGTTATAATCAATAATTCTGAGCACAGGAATGGAGAGGAGTTTAATGCACATCAAACATACAGCAAATCACCTATCATTTCTCAAGGGGAGTCTTGAGTGCGGGCAGACCCAGCCGAATGCAGTAGGATACATCTCAATGATTTGGCAGGGCAGATTCCCCTGTATGATCCAGCCACCTCGGAGGACGGTGGTAGCCTTTGGGCCGCTCTGCCCGGTCATCAGGGCTGGGAAAGGCTGAATGTGAAGGGCTGAAGCTGAGTAAGCCTGGTGCACTGGAGGGAGGGTGGATGGCAGCATGTCTCATGGCAAGGAGTACAACGCAGGGTAACAGCAAAATGTGCAGGAAAGGAGGAATGAGCAATATAACCATATAGCACACTTTTAAACACCCCTATGGCAGGGGTTTCCCAAAGGTCTAAGACAGCTTAGTACGGGGGGGGGGGGGGGAATGAATGCATGCACAACGCAAAAATGATAGAAAGTCTCCTCTGCAAACCCCAGTTTGCCTGGGAAACTGGGTACGTGTTACTTGTGTGCCAGGAGTGCCCAGAGCATCCCAGATCGATGCTCCTTTGTA